TAAAAACACAGGCAAAGCAGGTCCTTGCATCTAGTTAAATAATAAAAATTAATGTTAATATACACATATCGACATTACATATTAAGCATAAAGTTTTACAGTGCAATGCAAAATATATTTCACATACTGTAAATCACATTTAAAAAATAATGATGTGTATCACTATTTGTTTACAAAAAAATCTAATTATTTTTGTAAACATTTGTCTTACTTGTGCATCTCTAATCTTAATATTTTACATTTGTTGACTGCAGTAACCAAAAATACAAATGCTTGTGTTGCCATTGGAGTATCATCAGCATTAAGATTTCCACAACCAAGATCATATATCCTATTACTTCTTTCCCATCCCAATCAACTTTTTTTAATTGCTATTTCATCAATAAGTAAGCAACATAATAGTGGATGGGTTGAAATTTTACTTTCATCTCTGACTTTTATAAAAGAAAAGAATGTTCAGTAAAGCCAGGACTAGTAGCAGGTAGTTTAATAAACTGTCTTAGATACTCATATGCCTTACTAGAATAAAAGTGAAGAGTTAAAGCAAACTTTTTAACTTCTTCTGGATATTTATTGCCTTCATTACCAAAAAGCTGATGTTTTAATAGATCATGAAACAGTGCATTAAAGTTATTTTCTATTATTATAGCATCAGATTTAGAAAGCATTTCTCCGAGTGTTTGAATAACGTTTTTTAAATTGACAATCTTATTTGAATTTCTTTTATTAGACTGTCTGCTATATTTAAGTTTCTTTTGAAGATGTTCACATTTCTGTCTTGTTAAAATTAACATTTCATGCACCTTCTTTGGAGATGGCAAACAATGTGTGATCACAAGAGACTGATACTTCGTATTCTATCTTTGCAATTTTTTCTTTACAGGCTTCTCAAATAGGGACTTTAGATGTTGGTTTTCTTTCTCAACATTTTATTGCAGGAGTTTTTTGAAGATGTGAAGGAAATGAAAAAATTGTAGGAACAGAATTTGGTTGGAAATATCTTCTACCATTATTATAACTGAAGCATGCTTCTTCAAAATGAGATGAACAAATTCTATTATTATTGTTTGGTTTCCAACAATGGTGTCACATTAATATAAGCCATTTCTTAAAAAGAGATTTGTCAGTGAGTGGATACCTGACAAAGAAAAATTTTTATTTTAAATTTCTCTATTACAAGAATGGAATGTGATTTACTTATCACTGATATTAACCACTGTAAAATTCATAATTTGATATGTATAAGGCTTCTATCCAAAACATTTCTAATTTAAATTTTTATAAATTACACAGCGTTTTGAAGTTCAACACTTTTCGTTTACTTTTATTAAATTAACCTTTAAACAATTATAAATTTTCGTCTATAAACATGCATTCACTATTATCAGGACTTATCTTAACAGACAATACAGAGTTTCACAGAAAACAATTTTTATTTAATATTTAATATACCTGGACTCCACCAGTTGCGGCGTACTACTGGGCGGGAGAAAGTGCGTCGGCATGCCGGGAGTCGTGGTGCGGGCTCAGCCCGTAAAGGTCCGCCATATCGCCCGCGCCTCTCCCGTCGGCTTTCCCGCTGTATTGCCTGTGCCTTTCCTGTATCGCCGTGAATCCCGGCGTGCCGACACACTTTCTCCCGCCTAGTAGTACACTGCAACCGGTGGAGTCCAGGTATATTAAATATTAAATAAAAATTGTTTTCTGTGAAACTCTGTATTGTCTGTTAAGCCAGTATAATAAGTCCTGATAATAGTGAATGCATGTTTATAGATAAAAATTTATAATTTAGTAAGAAAAGGACATTGAGGCATTTTAATTAACCTTTAAACATTTTATTAGATATAGAAAAGTATAGTATGAGTGAAATTAATAATTATAACTTGTAAAATGAAATTCCCAAATCTTTCTTGTAACTATTGGTACAATTGATAGTGGCACAAAAATGTGGCATGATTATTTCTTACAGTATGTTTCGCTATCAACCCCCAGAAACTGTCATGGCATCCTTCTCTTCAATTAGCTTCAAAAAGTGGCACTGTAATCACTGCTACTGGCTATGTCATTCTATCTCGTTGCTCTTGGCTCTGAAAACTTTCTCCTACTATGTAATAGAAAGTAAATTGTTTTCACCCCTCAGGCTACAAGGGGAACTTGTATAGCTAAACCAGCCAAACAACTTTTCCATCAGCTGATTCTGTTTTAAATGAAAATAAGGCCAATATGATGTTTAAAAAGTTAATAAGCATTTAAATAGATTGGTTTTAGATATATTTATATCCAGTTATTCAAATCTAATGCATTCCTGAAAAGATATGAACAATGAGAATTTGAATATTCAGGAAGTTAGAAGTGTTTTCCTTTACTTTTTAGGGAAAAATTTTAGCTTGTTTCTAGTCCACCTAACAATCTATATTTTTAGTGATACATTACAAACTCCATTTAATTTACTAAAAAATACTTAATATGGCCATTAAATAATAAATTTGTAAGCAGTAATGCAACAAATCAATTTATATAGTACCCTATTAGATAATGCATATAAACTGTTTTATTTCACATGCAGCAGATGTAATGATATTGCACATTTTATATTGAAATATTACTGTATAAAACAACAATGAAAACAAATAAGGTTATAAACCAATTGTAATAAACTGTTAAAAAATTAGCTTATAAGATTATATTAAAATTTTCTGATAAAATTCATTTATCTATACAATCATGGAAAAAGTACAAAACAGGGAATGGTGTCAGTGTGACTTTTGAATTTTTCTCAAATATGCTTTGAAGAAATCTGTAATAGTGGGAATATTAAACTCAGATTCTGGTGAATTTCTTGTAAGAATATAATATGTTTAGTTTAAGAGAAAGAGGAGAGAGAACATTTTTAAGCAGAAAGATTTTTCAGATACTTAAAATAATCATTTGTTTTAGTTTTTTTGTAAAAATTGTTATATTATCTAATTAATTAAAAAAACTGACTTTTGAATAACAACCTTTCTGATTATAATCAAAAAAGTTTGTTCAAGAAATTGTAATACCATTAACTATGAACTGTTTGAACTAGAAATGCATCATAAAAAATAAATTGTTATTGTTCTTGTTAATGCTCAATACAGAAATAGAAATTAACACTAAATGCTGAATAAGGCCAAAATTTATTACCAACTAGCAGATGAGCCCAGCATTGCCCAGGCAAAAATTTACAACTAAGGTTAAGATTATTAGATTATTTTGTACTTCTAATCCTTCTATATATTTAATCACATATTTAAACTTTGCATGCTTGAAAACCAATTAAAACTTATTTATGCTTCCCAGTAACTTTATATTATATTATACAGGTTGAAGTAATTTGACCAAAAGTATCATTGACCTCCTCCCAAAAGAGAAGATGGTCAACAACTACTCATTAATACCAGTCTACTATTAATAATTGAAAAGTGATCAATTTCTGTGCACATGATCAAAATTGTTAATGTCCAAAAGAGTTAATACGACTTGTTTAAATAAAGAAAATCTTGTAAATGTGCTAGAATAATTACCTTTATGTGATAATACATGTGTTTATATTTTTGCAACAAACTGTACAAACTACATGAGAAGTATGTTCTTGTAAATATTGCATTTATAGAAAAATTATGGGGCTGCAATTTGAAAAAAATTGTAGACCTATAAATTCTGACTGATGTCCCTTGTCTAGCTGTGTGTCTATCTGTCCTTCCTTAATCTTGAGAAAGGTGTTAAATAGATGAAAGTTGAGACCAGATATGCTTAGGAGCAGCAGCTCAGATTAACTTTATAAGAACTTCTGGTTTTGACCGGAAGTCACATTACACCAGTTCAAAATTTTTGCTTGAATGGAGCTAGTTAGATAACCGGCATGACTATTACTAAAAGGAAAACTATGAAGTACAGGAGCAAGACACCACTAAAGGAATTGAGAATATTGTGACGAAAAATTGCAACCTGGCATTGTGACAATGTCTCAATAAATAATCACTTATTAGAATTAGTTTGACTTATTTAGTTAGGGCAACATGACACATGAGCTATATCCCGAGGGTGATGCATCCTGGGGAAGACTTATGGGAAGCTGGACACTGTTTAGGTGTTACTAATGTAAAGAAAATCCAGCCCATTCGCCATGCCTGAACTTTCAACTAACTACCTACCAGAGTTCAGTGTTTTATCCACACAGCTACTGGAGGGCACTATTAGAATTCAAAAAGTACCATTTAGAAATGAAAAAACTCGAGTTGTTAGATGTAGAAAATTAAATTTTTATAGACTTTTCACAGAATAACACTTTTGATTCCAAGCATTCAACATTACCAGGAAATTACATCAAATAAGACAAATTCGTTATTATTAATTGCATTTTAGAATATTTTCTTGTGATTTACATGTAGTGTAAGAAATTTAATATAATGTAATTGTTGATTTACATTCAATTCAAACATTCCATTTGCTCATTTACAGGTAGCACCATCTATTGGCGCTATGTGTAAATCAGCAAATCAAATGTTTTACACCTTCCTGAACTTTTTTGCCAACAGATGGTGCTACGTGTAAAACAGCAAATTGTATGGGAGATAGAAATTAATTGATTTACAGATCCAATAGATATTTTTGGGTGGGATGTTCAACATTACCTAAATTGGCAGTATATAAATGTAACTACTGAGTTTCATAGCAATTGGCTGAACACTCTAGGCGTGTATACAAACGTGAACAAACATCCAAACATACCTTATAACTAAACAGCGGACATTTAGGTCCTTAAAAGTAGTGTTTTAGGCGCCTAAAATAGGCTCTTAAATTGCCTCGTTTAGGCTTTATAAACAAAAAATAAGCGGTCAAAATTTGCACAATGAACAATTAATGTACTTATCAGACAATGGATTATTTATTTAACATATGTATTCCAAACAAAAATGCATGTATTCAGAATGGTGCAAACACAAAAGTAGACAAACAATTATCTTTACATTTTTTTATTCACTCTGTTTCCCATAGTTAGCTTCACAATATATAACAAGTACTTTTTCCAAATTTTCAATAGAAAAGTTGCAACGTTTGTCACTGAGAATTAATTTATATGCAGAGAAAGAGCGTTCCACATCTACTGACGATAATGGACAGTATTTCAACCTTGGAAGAAGATGAACTGGGAATTCACTTTTGGTTTTGCTCTTCTTTCCTGCCAAAATATCAGCCACAACAAACAAGGACTTTAATCCAGTATTCTTTTGAAGCACTGCATCCAACTTTTTCCTCACTTTTTCTGCAGCAGTGCCTGGTGCATCACAAAGTTTCTGCTTTGCTCTGTTGAGGAGATCAATTTGTTCATATATCGGTTTCCCACTACTTTCAAGAGCAGTAATAGTATCTGCAATGAATGTGAAATGAGACTTGATGTACACCAAGTCGTTCTGAACATAAATGTCATTCAAAATTTCCTTGGCTTTAGTTACACAAACTGCATCATCCGCTAAAGTGTCCAGAAGTTTCTTTATATCAGAGAAATGTTCACTGTAGTAGTTAACAGCCTTCAGCCAAGTTCCCCAACGAGGTTCTGGAGGAAGAGCAACATCTGGGAGCATCTGCCGAAAAGCTTGCACTCTTGATGGGGCTTTAATGAACACTTTCTTGACAGAGGAGATGAGTTTATTCACCTTCTCATATTCTACTCTGATTTGCTCTGCTACCCGATTGAGACCATGGGCCAAGCATGTTACATGGACAAGAGCAGGGAAAAAAATCTTAAGTGTTTTCATGGCAGGAACCATGTATGAAGCAGCATCTGTTACGGCTACAAGAACTTTGTCTTCATCAGGATTAATTATCTTTAGTCCATTGTTCACAAAATGAGCCACTGTTTCATGGTTAGTTTCAGTCAACTGTTTCATGTAGATCAGGTAAGCTCTGGATGGCCCATCGGGATCAAGCTTTCCAACAATCAAGTTGGCAATGTAGCATCCAAGACTGTCCATTGTTTCATCTACAGAGAACCACAAGTAAGAGTCCTTAAGATAGTCTCTTATCCTGGAAATAATATCTTCGTATGCAGGTTGCACATAATACTTTCAAAGTGTCGACTCTGAAGGGATTTTCTGGTGGCAGTACTTTTCCAAGAAATTTCTAAAATGAGTGTTCTCCAATGTTTTAAATGGAATATTTGCTGCTATAATAGCATGACACAAATCAGCACTAAACTCATTTTTCTTTGATGAAGTCTCTGAAGTCTGCGTTGAGAGAGAGTGTTTCATTTTATATTTTCGTTCAACGTTTGATCTATGCAGAGCACCTTGTGCATGCAGAGCACCTTGTGCATGTTGTGTGAGGTGGCATTTCTTTTCACTGGACACCTACAAAAAAATACAAAATTTTATTTATTATTGATTATTTTTAAACTACTTTATATTTTATATATATTAACATTATACAGTATATATAATTTGTAATTCGCAGTAATATTTTAATTTATGAAAATAATTTTTTTACTGACCTCTTTATTACAGACTTGGCACAGAATAATCTTGCCATCCGACATGTAATGGGGGAATTCTTGAAACCATTGTCTAATTAATGAAGCTTTAGATGTTTTAACTTTTGGCATTTTCACTAAAATTTTATCCACAAGTGAACACTTCAAAGACAAAAATAAAACTGATCTGCNTTAAAATATAATATATTACAGTAAACCTTGCTGAGTCAAAGTTTAAGGGGTAAAAAAAAAAATCCCTACTTCTGAGTTAAAAGAGTTTCAAGTTAATGAGTTTAAACTTCATTTTCAAAATAGAAATATTTTGAAAATGAAGTTTAAACTCATTAACTTGAAACTCTTTTAACTCAGAAGTAGGGATTTTTTTTTTTACCCCTTAAACTTTGACTCAGCAAGGTTTACTGTAATATATTATATTTTAAAACTTTTGTTCTATTCCAGTATTTTCAAATTTTGTTCTCTGCCATTCTGTGTTCAATTTACCTGATGATGGTGAGCTTGTATATCACTGAAAGTACCTGCATATTTTGATAAGTTATATGTTGTTTTCACTCATTAAATCTGTTATAACATTGTTCACAGAGTTTTTTCTATTTTATCTACTTAATCATTATTATTACTGATTATAATGTCTTAATCATACATAAATACATACATACGTACATACATACATATATCTTTAAGATAAACTCTGGCCGGCATTGCTATAGAATATTTAACTGAACAACACCGGGATATAAATAAAACTTATGACTCATCGACTAATTAACTGATGTGAATAACATTTAAGTGATGAACATTTTTGTTACTTAAACATTATTAACACTGGTTAATTGGTTGGTGAGTCATAAGTTTTACATACATATATCAATACTTGTTATAATGCTTAGTTTACTACTAACAAAAGCCAGCAAAAATATTTAATTGGAGCGTAAAATGCTATAATTTTATTTATAATTGTCAAACACAAACATATCTTTAGAATATACAAAATCAATTTCAAATTTCTTCAGATTTAAGCATTCCATAAAGTTTTATAGTATTTCTATGACAAAATTATTTTATAAGATCTGAAGAATTTTAAATAATTGAAGCATAGTGAGTGTGCTTTCTTGGCAGCAATTTAAATTGACAAATTTCTGAAACATATTATGTGGTTCTGTTACTGTTAAAACTTTCTGTTCAACTGAATTAAATTTTTCACATTGATAGATGTAATGAAATGGCACGTTATGTTGGAGGCTGTTTGAACTCTGAATTGTTCAAAGTCCAAATCAATTTTTCTCATTAGAAATAATGGAATAATCCATTCCCAGACTCTAAACCAGGGGTCGCCAAACTTTTTGATCGTCGACCCCCTACAAGTTTTCAAAACCTCACATCGACCCCCACCAAAAAGTTTGTTACAAGCAAAAAGAAAGCGCTTATTATTTTAATATATATCTTTTAATTTTACATTTTTTTACATTTATTGTACAGTACTGTACTGTAGGCCTATATATGTTAATAATAATTTTTGTAACTGACAATCAATAAGACGGATAAGCTTGATAATCTTTAGCAAGATTAGCAATATTCGGTTCAAAATTTGTAAGTTTTAGTCTTTTCATCGACTCCCCCAATAATGTTATATCGACCCCTGCTCTAAACAATACCCATTTCAATAAACCAACACTACAAATACACATAATTTAAAGTAAAAATAATACAAAATGACTTCTAATCTTAATCTGACTGAGTAATAACAATCCACAAAACCTTTTTATAACAGTGTTGTGTTCGTAACAATCTTCACTAACATTTTCGACCTCCACTGAGGTCTTCTTCAGGTGGTGACTAAACTGTCTCCTCTTGACTGTTGGAACAATGACACCCGAGATGTAAATAATGCGCCTATCACGTTTCACCCCCCTCCGCTTGTCAGTTTGAATTCTTCGAATAAGTATCTCCATGCCTGTGCGATTGTCTCTCCATCTTTAAAGTTGATGCAGGTGCTCCCAACGTTGTCTTTATAAATCTCCCAGGCGATGGATGTGATCAATACAAAACACCTGTCTGATTACTTTGGTGTTTTGGAAGTCCACCTGAATTTCAGAGTCAATAATGTAGGCCGACAAGGCAGTGATGTGCCTGTTATTTTTAATATCCAATTGATGCTCACATAACCGTTTTTGTGTTGAGCGGATGGTGGAGCCAATGTAAACTAAGTCTCTATGGAATCTATCGTCCCTGATGGGAATGGAGGGGGCCCTGTTGAGATCTATTGTGTCCTTTGCGTTGTGCAGTTAGTGAAGATTGTTACGGACACAACACTGTTATAAAAAGGTTTTGTGGATTGTTAGTAAAAATAATACAATTAAATGCCCTAAGTAATAAATTAAATCATGAAAACAATAAATAAAGTACTTAAATACTGTATAAAATGAAAATTGCATTTACTGATTGCAAACCATTGACTTTAGGTCTTAAACATGGCCCCAGATCTGCCACATGTGTACCACTTTCATGCTTTAGGATAAGTTTCTTTTTCATCTCAATCCTTGATATTACAATTTTCCTCTTATACTTTGTGGCTTTCACACACTTCTCATATACCATGGTTACTAAGCAAGGATATATTGGGTTGAACAGAAAGTTTTGCTTATTTTTAACATCTGTCATTACTGAAAATAGATGTGTGATTTAATAGATCATACTTGAAATTTTCAAAAACTGAGAAAACTTTTTCCTTATTATGAAATTCAACACATTATTGCTTATGTGAGATTGTATTCATTGCTTAGAAGCTTATTGTAAACTTTTTACTTCATTTTGTTTGAAAAAAATGAAATTGAAATGTTTTCAGATAAAAAGCATATCAGACATATTATGCTGTGAATTTCAGAAAGGATATAACACTATACAAACAGTAAAAAGAAATTTGTAATGTACTGTATATGGAGAAAATACTCCTAAACTTTGAACATGTCAAATGAGCTTTAAAAAGCTCCATTCAGGAAATTTTGATACAAATCATAAGGGGTACCCAAAAGCTGTTAACAAAGAAAAATTGCAGAGAAAAATTATTAACACACAATATGTATAACCAAACACCAAAAATAAAGCGAAAAAAGCACTGTAAATACACGAGCATAACACGAGCAAAAGCAACTTGGGCTCTCACAATAGATTAGTTTTACTCTTCAAGTGCATTTTTTCACTGTTTGTGCAGTTTGAACTTTGAAACTTCATTTGAACACCAAAGCAAATTTTTATTTAGTATTTGAGCTCTGAAACATTTGAAGTATGAGGTACAGCGTATTTCAAATGGTTAAACATGAAAAGACAGAAAATTACATGAGTTATTTGCTGTTGAAGTGTGTGTACATTTTTTTTTAAATACCCTGTATAGTAGAACCTCAATTATCTGAGCCCTGATTATCCAAGATGAATTCACAGAATCAGGATCAGACACCATCAAACTTGAAAAGGGCAAAGAACAGCTTTGGCTTCTTTATTAGAAGTTTAACAGACATATAAACACCTATAAACACCTATAAACCATTTACATATAGCAGTAAAATGTCCATCAGTACCTTTGTTTTTAGCATCTGCCTGACACAAACAATAGCATTCTCTTCATCTTGTGGTAGGTTTTTTGTTGATCAGAATACCTAATTTAAAAAATGTGAATTGTGAGCNGTCATTCCACTCTGAGAATCCCGTCGCTCTCTAACCTCCTCGCTGTTACCGGCCAACCTACTACCTGACACCTCCCCAAACTTCTCTGTGACCTTAGCTACTTCCGCCGGCTTTCCCCATCCCTGGGAACCTGAGTCGTCTAATTCCCTCTTACCGACCTGACCCGCCGAGCTCTGCGCCTCAAAAAGCCGCCTATCTTGCTCTAATAGGCGTTTCGCTTCCCTCAACTCGGCTTCCGGGCGTTCAAGCCGTAGTTTTTTTCGCTCCGCATCGATTTCTGCCAACCTGGCCTTGGCCTTAGATTCGATTTCTGTTTTCTGCCGGTCGGATTCCGCTGCCCTCACCTTGGCCTCAGATTCGATTTCGGCCTTCCGCCGTTCTGTTTCCATTTTTCTCTTCTCGGATTCCGCGAGTTTAACCCGTAGTCTAAGCGCTTCAATGTCCTCCCGAGATTCGTTTCCTGGCACTCCTGCCTTTTGTCCCTTGGTCGGCCCATCATTTTCCCACTCCCCTGTTTCTAAACCTCGCGCTTTCGTACGTTTAGGCATCCCTGCGGTAGCGAATAAAATAAAGTTTTACCTGGGTCAATGATTGCAGGTGTTCTTCAGTTCCTTTCGTCGCAGATCAGCCTTTCCGATCCTTGGTAGTTCGAAGTACGTAATCCTGCCGAATCCTGTGTAATCCTGTCGTAATCCTGTCGACTGCGCCAGTCAAATTAAAATACTTCTTCAGAGTCAGTTGTATTTAAAAACATTGAGTATATTGAAAATAAACGTATGTACAGTACAGTTACAATTAAAGTTCACATATAAGAATTACAAACATTAGATATTAACAAAGTTCAAAGTAATCATCCACTGCTACAGGTCCGTCGGAAAAGCACCTTGCGACGTACGAATTCAAAGTCCACAACAACACAACAAGACGAGACGATCTTCTAAGACAGTTTAGGCAACTAAGGTCAACGTGAGTTCACTCTATGAGTCTAACGTAAAACTAAACTTCCCGCCGGAACTTCACTGCTTTTATAGGATTGAAGCTACATTGAACTCCACCAATCAGCATGCCGATCGTCCGATGTTTCGTAACCAATCAGCGGTCGAGTTTTCAAAATGTTCTGATCGCCGTTTCCACGGCGATAACGGTCGTTCAAGAAAAGGCGGGAAAACCCGCGCGCTAGACGATTTTTATTCCCGACACTTTTCATTCATTATTTGTACAGAATGGAATATTTTACATTTTTCAGAGCATTATATCTAGATGCAGATATTTTCCTTCTTGATGATCCACTGAGTGCTGTTGATGTTCCAGTAGCAAAAGAAATATTCGAAAAGTGAGTACACAAATTATATTTTTAAACCTGTATAAATGTTTATAGTTTTAAAAGTTGTATTTTTTCAGGTGTATAATAGAATACTTGAAAGACAAAATTTGCATTTTAGTTACACACCAAATACAATTTTTAAATTTTGCAACTAAGATTTTAGTGTTAAACAAGGTGAGTAATGCAAATAAATATATTTTTTACTTCCTTGATCTTATATAGAATAGAGGAAAAGTATGGCAATCGGTCAAAAATTAACCCCTCCCCTGATTTTAACAGGTTTGGATGCATAGGACCTTGAAACGTGTAGAAATGGAGAAAAAATTCAAACATTTTTGTATGCATAGCTGTTAGCGTGTATGTGGGGGCACGATTTTGTTTGCCCTGTTTGAAGCTTAATAACTTCTGTGCTTTTTTTCGAAAATGTTAGAAATTTTGCAAAGCTGTTTGTCTATTACGATGATTCATAACATTAAAGCTTGCTAGTTTTACTTCGATTGAAAGGTAATAATGGTATTCCAGTAGAGACTGATTTAATGATTTTTACTCCTTATTGGTATTTACAACTTTTTTAAAAATAAAACTCATTCCTACTCTTAAAGTTAAACGTCTTGTTATTCTATAATAACTAAAAATATAAAATAATTCAAAAATAATGTATTATAACAGGTGGAACTAACAAATGTTGCAGGGAAAGTTAAGCTACTTGTTCGTGCATGTTTTATTTACGAATAGGAGTATATAAAAGAACAATTAATTAGTGTGACTGAACATTTTATAGCAATTCCGTCTTAATTTTTTTTCTTTCAGATAGTTCTAAATTATATAAATTATTAAAAATTATAACCATTAATTTAGTTAAAATACGGCAACTAATATCCACTTTTAGCAGCAACATATTTAATATTAGATATTATATTAGCAAAGTTATACTACGAGTATTTAGGCTATCGTTTGGTGATAAGTTATCAAATTCTTCAAGAAAACGTACTTTCTAGTTTGGAATTTTATTCCAGTTTAATTGGCCAGTGACTCTTTGTCAATATTAGACTATAAATAGAGAGAAAAATGAAACGTACACACAGATTATAAACTTTCAACCCATTTATATGAAAATTAAAACAAAATCATTTGTATTGAAGCCTTGTGAAACATTTTGATCTAGTCCAGGCCGCCTGAACAAGAACTTCGAGCGCTTGCAGGTAGTAAAGGAAACCTAAAGAAACTTAAAAATTGATAGAACATATCATAGACCTTCTTGGTCTATAAGCCTGGCTGATGCGCTAGGCTGGGCCCCCTCTTCTTGTAGGGAAGGGGTCCCCACTGTCTGATAGAATCATTGTTGAGAAAAGTGAACTGAAGGTTTAGACTTGTGGACCATAGTGCAGTACAAAAGTTATGCCAGGTGAGAAGACTGGGCCTGGGTGCGGATGGGAGCTCGAAAGATGCACCATGTGACCCAGCTATGTCGTTCCTGTCTACCATGTCAAGTATCAGACCAAGCCGATGAACAAGGCATAATCTCTTTAATCCTGTAGTGTCAATAGGCGGGCAGGGAAAGAGTTCCTTATAAGGCTTAGGATGGTACTCATGCCGTGCAGATCACGCATTGCAACGCTTCACCTCGACAAATTATCGTCATGCAGCTATAGGATAAGGCCTTTTTTCTCCCCAGCCATTAACTGATTGTATTAAACTCTCTGATGTCTCTAAGAAATTTTCTATGCTTTTTCAAATGTTAGGCTGCCGCGAACCACTGATAGCATTGCTGATAGCACTTAGAGCCTGAGCTGGTTTTGCTGATCTTTTTAGCTATAAACTGGGTATCACATAACTTGAGCTGTATGCAAATTTAATCACTTGCATATCTTTTTCACCATTTCCGGTCCTGCAATTACCTTTAGGTTACGCATATTTCTTCGTATTGTTGCGATTTCACATTTAAAAAGTTTACATTTATGTATAGATGTAGTGTATGTACTATATATTATATATATACATTATAAAAATTGTTTACGATTTTTTCTTAGGGAAGATGTGAAGCTATCGGTAACTATAATGAATTAAAATACTCAGGAGAATATTTGGGAATTAAATTAGAGAAAAATACCTCAGAGCAAAACATGGAACTACCAAACGCAAACTTCACTATTAATGAAGAAGAAACCTTTTATAATAAACAAGTCGGCACGCTTTATGATAATTACGATATCATTAATAATGACGTCGTAAGTAATTGCTGTTAATATATTTAAATGCATTTTTCTTTGTTTTTGTTGTTAATTTACTTATTGTTTTTCAAAGTCTGGCTAAGTATATAAAATATTCAGCGAGACTTTGATTCACTGGTTATGGGTTTATGCCTCAACAATAAGCTGTATATATGGATTTTTCTAAATTGTACCTAAGTGACACGTAAATAGAAGATAGCTTCTCATAGAAAGTTTATAACAGATTTCCTGCAATTCAGTTTGAAACATTAAAACACAACAGTATATTCTTGTTATTGTCGTTGTTATTTTTAGCAGAAAACTAATTTGTGTATTAATTACTATAGCAGTAAAATAATTCAAAAGTGATAAATTTACCGCATTATACTAAAAAATTTATAGTGTTTTTTTCAGTTTTTTTTATAATAAAAATGTCGAAATCTGTTTTGTACTNTATTAACACACAATATGTATAACCAAACACCAAAAATAAAGCGAAAAAAGCACTGTAAATACACGAGCATAACACGAGCAAAAGCAACTTGGGCTCTCACAATAGATTAGTTTTACTCTTCAAGTGCATTTTTTCACTGTTTGTGCAGTTTGAACTTTGAAACTTCATTTGAACACCAAAGCAAATTTTTATTTAGTATTTGAGCTCTGAAACATTTGAAGTATGAGGTACAGCGTATTTCAAATGGTTAAACATGAAAAGACAGAAAATTACATGAGTTATTTGCTGTTGAAGTGTGTGTACATTTTTTTTGAAATACCCTGTATAGTAGAACCTCAATTATCTGAGCCCTGATTATCCAAGATGAATTCACAGAATCAGGATCAGACACCATCAAACTTGAAAAGGGCAAAGAACAGCTTTGGCTTCTTTATTAGAAGTTTAACAGACATATAAACACCTATAAACACCTATAAACCATTTACATATAGCAGTAAAATGTCCATCAGTACCTTTGTTTTTAGCATCTGCCTGACACAAACAATAGCATTCTCTTCATCTTGTGGTAGGTTTTTTGTTGATCAGAATACCTAATTTAAAAAATGTGAATTGTGAGCGGAAGTGGGAAGACTTGGTCAAACACAGTCAAGGAAGATACATTGTGACTGAAATCTGGAGTTGTGTGACCCTGTGATAAAGATGAGGAAGATTCCAATGTAAACTTGTGGCCTAAAACAGCTTTGCAAACTTCATCAAAGGGATAGCAGAAGTGACTCTCCTACTTGCAATGAATGTTTTGAAGGTCATTTTGAAGAACGTTTGCCTGTTTGTCATAACATTTTTGCATTTTACAATTATACATTGTATCTTTTTTCCACTTTAATTTTTTTTATTTATTACTGGCATAGTTGACAGGATAGGAAAAAAGTGTCAGAACCTGCTGACAGGATCAAAGAGAACTAAGAGGTGTTTTACAGCTTATTACCTGAGCTTTGTAAAGGAAACTCTCAACGATCTGAAAAATTGAAAATCCAACTTATGAAAGATAAAGGCAACAGATTGAGGTAGGCCAGTTTTAATATACTTCAATTCATGATATTCACTCATCATACCAATTATTGATAGGAAGAAAAAGAGTAGTTGTGATAGGAATAGGAAAAAGAGGGACATGGAAATTGCACTCTGAGAAAATCATGAGGATGTGGTTTTAGGTTGAGGTGCATTTAGCCTACTAACCCTCATCTGTACAGAACAATAACAGCATAAGGATATGGGTTAGTTTTTGAGAGCGAGATGACTCAGACACCAATATCATAGTGTAAATCAAATACAGATCATGAATTCAGCTATTCCAGAGAGCTCAGAAGAAACTATTGGTTTTAGTGATTTCAAAATTATGCACAAAAATAATGAAAGAATGAAATTTAAAATGAAATAACTGTAGTAAGAAGAGAAATAGTTCCATGCCAATAAAATTGCAAGGTGCTTTTGGAAAATGATCATTGCAGATTTGGCTAACATCCCATTGAGATTGGAAGACAAGGAGAAAGGGAAGCAAAAACCATCTTTATCATATGCTGCACAATCAACACAATCTGGGTAGTGACATACTACTTCAGAAAATATGGGGTTGCTCTTGGATCAAAGATAGAACAAGAGGTGTTGGAAGAATGATTCAATGACACTTTTAAGCAGTGTTAATGAAAGTGATTAGTCATGGATGTCAGAGAATAGAATAGTTTTTGTTAGAGGCTTTGACACATCAAAAGTACAATATAAAAGTTGTATATAGGGTAGGCCATATCTGTGACTCCATATTTTTACTCACCTGGTATCCATGTTCCATAATTGTTAGTTTAGGATTTGTGGAAATGAGGTCAGCATACAGTTGGCACTATGTCTCAATCTGTCTTCGTATATATGAAATGATAAAAGTTCAAAAGAAGAAAGTATTGTGGGAGCATTAGTATCTATTAATAAAGCTATCTTCCAACCACATTTAATTTGTAAATGCATCAGAGTTGCCTTTTGTCTAACACACTACCTCTGTCTATGACTGAAGCCATTCTTTCAGATCCTCCAGAGCAGTAGGCTGATGTCTTAACTGTCTCTAGCCATTTGGCCATCTCAAGAATATTTTAAAAAATATTTACTTGTTCATTATAACTTCTCCACATTATATAATTATGCATTGTATATCTTTTTATATTTTTATTTTTTTTATTCACCACTCATCAGTTGTGTTTAAATTTGAATGGAAAAATATGGGTTATTTAGTAGGCAGGATTAGATATCAATTTTAAATTGTAACAATTAAATGCATTCACAACTGCTTAAAGGTTGTGAATGTGTTTAATTGCTGCTTTATATGCAGTCATCTATTTATTATTTAAATTGTAATTACAAATGCACAGTGCAATACAATTTAAATTATGGATTAATGCAATACATTCATACTTGAGCTTCTTAACTTGTTGCTTGCACTTTTTAAACTTTTCAACCATGACACCACACTACCCTAGTTATCCTGTGTTATAATGCACCACAGACTCATGCCATAAAAAATGATTTGAGAGCTAAAGTCCAAAAGTAAAGCTAGAATAGATATCATATAATAAAATGCACACCATACCTAATTTTCCAGCAACTGGAGTTTGTGGAACAAACATTTTCAGTTTATTTTATAAACTTGCTTCAGGTTTCAAATTACACAATTCAAAATTACCTTTCAATAATTCGAAAATCCCTTCAAGGAAATTTCAAATTGTGTAATTTAGAGCTTTATAAAATAAACTGGTTTATAAAATAAACCAGTTTATTTTATAAAGCTGAAACAAGTTTATGAAATAAACTGAAAACATTTGTTCCACAAACTCCACTTGCTGGAAAATTATGTATGGTGTGCCTTTTATTCAAATTTTGTTCTTAATCATACTCGTTTATCTCAAATTCCATTGTGAATTTTAAATGTTTAAGGCTAATGTCAGACAAATGAGATTTCATGTCTACCATTTTTTATGGATATCGTGGGATTTCTAAAACATATGGGACTGGTCAAATGGACACAGACATGAAAAATCACATTGGACATGCTCTGGATTGTCTGCAATAATCTCATGATGTGTGACCATTGCATACTGGGAGATACACTCAAAGTCTATGGTCATCAGACGAGCATGAAAAATGACAGACATGGTAGCATTGTTTCAAGGAAATAGTGGGTCAGTGTTGTTATGTTTCTGCAGGAAGAGTATATGGTACCTGTGTATTTTAAAAATGCACATTAATATAAGAAAAATGATCATACAAATTAGTGAGGGGACAGAATTGAGAGAAACTTTATTTGAACTTTATAAAAACAGAAATAAGAAAAAGGAAGGCTGGTTACAATCAAAAGGGCATACCTAATATTGCGTACTTTTTTCTTTTTTGTTTTTAAATACTTCTGTGTGTAATAAAAATAGCATATTGCAATCTATGTCTATTTATACACATCCGAAATAAAGCTGATTACTAATGCACTACATGAAAAACAGTGCTCGTCTGACCACTGACTTCACCACTGCGAATTGCAAAAGTAGCCTGTGTTTACATGCTCGTCTGACATTAGCCTAAATGTTGAGAATTACAAATGCTCACCTATGGAGCAATGGCTGCTTACATAGATGTGGGATATAGAGTAGGCTGGTTATGTGAATATTTTTATTCTAGCAATTTTCTGTAGGTTATATGCATAAAAATATGATATAAGCAAAATTACTGTCATAAATATTTTAAAAATTATTTAGGCAATTCATAATGTCATAATAATCTTATTTTTTTATTAGATTTGAATTTGGTTTATTCAAAAATGAGAATCCATTGTAAACATGAACGGAGAAAAGAGAATGGATTTTGTTTAGTTTGGTTGGTTGAGAATAATTGAGGGAGGTCAGAAATATTTTTAGAAACAATAATATGAATTCAAACATTTTGGTTTTCAGGTCATAAAATTAAAGTTATAATTTTTTGGGCAACATTGAGATCAGAAATTATCTGTACTACATTAAAGAATGTAGTACTTTAACTGCAATTTATTTATAATTTAGATCTACTCAGATCTATGATTTAAGTTCTTGTATGTACCATCTAGCACTTACTATGTGCAGTAAAATAATGTTATTTGATACATTCTTATATGTTTGAGGATTATGAAAACAGAAGCTATTAAATATATTAGTCTTTACAATGTAATATTAAGTTTATAGGTACATTCTTTTTAGCTATGTTTAGTGATAGACACAATGAGTGCTAGGCTTTTATTTTGCTTGAATGGTTATTGATTTGAACTGTCTTAACTTTGACAGGTCTGCAACCTAATAAAAAACACTATATATAACTATCTATATCTATAACATTTACTAACAAAGCACTGATCATTTGAAATAACAATTCATGCCTTAATAATGAGAAGATAATGCCCAGCTATGGAAAATGAGAGGGAGATAGTCATTAAGATACATCCTACCAGTAGATGGATGGTCCTTTTGTGATTTGACAAATGTTTGTATTATTTTATTAGTCAGATAACTAGTTTAATTTGCAAAACTGAGTTGACTTGTGGCAAGTGGAAGTCCTTTTTTTTTTTTTCTTGTGGTTTTAGGTCCCTTACCACTCAGAGAGCACAAAGAGGCCAAAAAGTGGGCGTCCTGTAGTGACACAGTCAATTGTTATGAAATGAGTATCCTGAAATATTAAGAAATATGGATCATTGGTTAAAACATTTTTATGAGATTATAATGTAGATGAAAGGTAAAAAATATATTTATGTACACCAGGGTGTCCAACCCGCGGCCCAAGGAAAGTTCGAATGCAGCCCAATAAACGTGTACACAAAACTGGCAATTTTTTAAATTATTTATTTATTTCAACGGCATAAACTCAAAAAAGAAGTTTCACAAAGCCTTTATACTTATTTTATTTTTGAGTGGAAAATAAATATTTTCAAATACTTAGAAATGTGTGAATGAGGAAGGTATACTAAATAAAGCTGGAGTTGGCTCTCAAAGGAGTATAGACTCAAATTTGGGGAAAGGAGAAAAAGACCTAAAGATAAAAAGTAATGAGAAAGGTTAAAAAGACCTCCTGTTATGCAAAATGGACCCTTAATTTTCCAATCTTCTTCACTTCTTTATCTTTTGTCCTCTTTCTCCTTTCCCTGCATTTGGGTCTATAATTCTTTGAGTCTCAACTCCAGCTTTATTTAGTATTCCTTCCAGCATTGCAAGACTACTTTGCACCAAATTTGGCTACCCTTTTATTAGTTTAATGTAAAAAATATCAGTTGGCACATTGGCTACTTTTTGGGCTACATATTATTTATAAATATACTAGCTTACCCGTTGCGTATTACTGCAATCTCAGAAGAAAGGAAATTCAAGCAAACTCGTTATGATAAAATTCAATTTACATTTTATCATTTTTATTGAAACTTATTATTATTATTCATTTTCATCAGAAAAACATTTCAAAGTGTCGTTTCAATTCTATTTATTTATTGGAGTGCTTGTGGATACACGATATTTTTTGTTTTTCCGTCTGGTGCGTACATAAATAAATCAGAAGGTTTTCAGATGCGTGAGCTGGCCACATACAGTTGTCCATGTGAGAAGCACGGATTCTCCAAATTTAGCCCACACACTTGCAGCGACTGTCAGAAGTGCAATATTCCCCATTTTTATATATATTTTTAAATCCTTTATCATTTACTTAATTGCTCCTTCCTCTCTTCCTTGGCATGTTGTGAAATTTCTGATAGTTGGATAATAAACCATTTTATTGTAATTTGTCTTTTTAAATTATTTTGAGTTGATATTAAAATTTGGAAAAGGGGAATCCCTAGATTGGTAAAATAGGCGAATTTCCTCCTACAGCTTCGGTTGTTGTTCGGGATACAGTTAAGGTTTTAACAAAGTTTGAGCGAATATGTAATTAGCAAAAAATAGTTGAAATAAAGTGATTAAACAAAAATTATTACAAATATCGTAAATAACAGTTCACAAATGCATATATAGAGATATTTTTTGGAGGGGGGAAATGGTCTTCACAATTTGAAATCTATCGATCTCATGATGAAATGCTCGTATACACTCTATCGTAGGATCGCGTCATCTATCGTAGGATAAATGTACTATGCCAGAAACTGAGTGTATTAAAAAACTTCCCAAAGCTTCATGGCAATCGTACTATGCCAGAAACCTTCGCGGGAGTATATTAAACAACTTCCCAAAGTTTCACGGCAATCAGATAAACGGTGTGGTAATGCATGAAGACAGATTAGTTGAATAAAAATGCACTTTAAAATGGTGTTTTGTCATTTTTTATTAATTAGAGACCCAAATAAAACAAATATTTGTGTTTTTCAAATAAATTTTTGTTTGTCTCCTTTATAATAAATGAATTTATCTATTTCTAAGTAAAAATTGAAAGTGTCTGTAAAAGTAATTTTTAAAAATATTCTTTTTTGTGGTAAACTTTTAATACTTATTACTATAATCTAGACATGCTGATACTTAAATATACTTGTATATTTAAGGATTGGACCAAAATATACTTGTGGCCGAAAATTCCATGACTTCTTCCAATGTGGCCCAGAGAAACAAAAAGGTTGGACACCCCTGATGTACACCATAGTATTGTTGATTGTTTACTTTTGAGTTGTTCTTATTGAAAATATTTATACAAGTTTAACTGTATTACAATGTTGTTTATAATATATTTCCAGCCACAATAAATAATGTGCTTTAGGTTTATTATTTTGAGGAAATACTAATGAATTAAATTAGTAATTCTCTCACAAATGGAAATGGAATTCGTATAATTTGTTAAACAGTACAGTAGATGTAAACATTTACTATTCCAAATACCATGCTTCAAAATATACTGTTTCCTGTATTAAATTCAGACTTAAATAACAAGGTAGTTTTTTAATTTTTAAAGTAATTTATTTTACTGTTTTATTGCAAGACAATAGAATATAAATGTTCACAAAATTCTGAAAACTTAAAAAGTCTTTTTGTTTATCATCAGGAGAAATTATTTTATTGTTAATTTCATGAAAACTTTTTCAAATAATATGTCTTGTTAACATCTCTTCTGAAAAAGTTTTGAGTCAGAAAATATTTAATATATTATCATTTTCAGGTATTGTTACTTTTAGCACTCTTTTAGTTTTGTGCTTTCATTTAGGAATAATATATATAAACCTATTTATTTTTTGTTATAATTAAATTATTTGTATTTATTTATTTATTTGTTTATATTAATACCGAGATTTTTTCTGAATTTGAATTTAATCTGTTTAAGACATGCTGTTTCTTTTATTTAAGAATGTACAATTTTCTATTTTAAAATGTTTGATGTTGATATTTGTTTTGATTTGATGGTGGAGTGAATCTTCAAAAATATTAATATATTAACTCACACAGGTACAGTACATAAGACACCTCTCATTTCCACACAGAATATTTAGGAAAAAGTATTTAGCATATGTAAGCCGCCTTTCATAATAAGATATCTGTGACAAAATATGATCACAAATAGATAGTAACATTTATGTATTGAGAAAAGGTTACTGGTTAAGATAATTTGTCATACTAATGATCAATTGATAATCATTTCACGTTATCTAAAGCATCTGCCTGACACAAACAATAGCATTCTCTTCATCTTGTGGTAGGTTTTTTGTTGATCAGAATACCTAATTTAAAAAATGTGAATTGTGAGCGGAAGTGGGAAGACTTGGTCAAACACAGTCAAGGAAGATACATTGTGACTGAAATCTGGAGTTGTGTGACCCTGTGATAAAGATGAGGAAGATTCCAATGTAAACTTGTGGCCTAAAACAGCTTTGCAAACTTCATCAAAGGGATAGCAGAAGTGACTCTCCTACTTGCAATGAATGTTTTGAAGGTCATTTTGAAGAACGTTTGCCTGTTTGTCATAACATTTTTGCATTTTACAATTATACATTGTATCTTTTTTCCACTTTAATTTTTTTTATTTATTACTGGCATAGTTGACAGGATAGGAAAAAAGTGTCAGAACCTGCTGACAGGATCAAAGAGAACTAAGAGGTGTTTTACAGCTTATTACCTGAGCTTTGTAAAGGAAACTCTCAACGATCTGAAAAATTGAAAATCCAACCTATGAAAGATAAAGGCAACAGATTGAGGTAGGCCAGTTTTAATATACTTCAATTCATGATATTCACTCATCATACCAATTATTGATAGGAAGAAAAAGAGTAGTTGTGATAGGAATAGGAAAAAGAGGGACATGGAAATTGCACTCTGAGAAAATCATGAGGATGTGGTTTTAGGTTGAGGTGCATTTAGCCTACTAACCCTCATCTGTACAGAACAATAACAGCATAAGGATATGGGTTAGTTTTTGAGAGCGAGATGACTCAGACACCAATATCATAGTGTAAATCAAATACAGATCATGAATTCAGCTATTCCAGAGAGCTCAGAAGAAACTATTGGTTTTAGTGATTTCAAAATTATGCACAAAAATAATGAAAGAATGAAATTTAAAATGAAATAACTGTAGTAAGAAGAGAAATAGTTCCATGCCAATAAAATTGCAAGGTGCTTTTGGAAAATGATCATTGCAGATTTGGCTAACATCCCATTGAGATTGGAAGACAAGGAGAAAGGGAAGCAAAAACCATCTTTATCATATGCTGCACAATCAANAATGAAAATAAAATTGAAGAAACAAAAGTAGATAAAGATGAGTTAAACTGTACAGAATTTGAAGCTGAAAATATTGGTCCTCTATCAGAAGCTAATAATGAAAAAAGTTCTATAGATATTACAGAAAGTAATCAAGGCAAGTTTTTTCTTTTAATATCTGTGTATTATTAATTAATTAAAAGTTATGATATCAAAATAAACAGTTCTGAAAAATTTGTATACATATATTTCTTATACAAATACTTTCAAGCAAAAGGTTTGTTTCAGAACTTTCTTAATATAAAATTAGAACATTTATAAATTATTTTCATTATTATAAACCATATACATGGGGGACCCAAAAAAAAACCAGATCTTTTGTATAAAAACTTTATTTATTAACTTTTTTACAAAATTCCTTCAGTCACCTTCAAAGTACTCTCTATTAGATGTGATACACTTGTCAAGTCTTTTTCCCCACTGTTTGAAGCATCTCTGGAACTATTCAACCTTGATATCGTCCAGTGCCTTTAGCGAAGCTGTTTTTATCACCTCCACATGATCAAAACACTTGCCTTTTAGATTTTTCTTCATTCTCAGAAACAGAAAAAAGTCGCACGGGGCTAGGTCTGGTGAATACGGAGGGTGGGGAACGACAGGCCATCTCCAAGAGAACAAATAGTGGGTCACTCATAAGGCTGTATGTGCGGGGGCATTGACATGATAAATGAACCAGTCACCTGATTACCAAAGTTCCGCGCGTTTCCTTTGCACATCCTATCGCAGATGTCTTAACACTTTTTTGGCGGATTTTTTTCAACGTTTTCATCGTTTTGAGATGTTGAAGAACACCCAGAACTTTGCAGGCGGAACAAAATAACAGCAAGAGATACACAACACTATGCTCAAACGTAAACCTAAAAACTGATGCCATTTGCACAGCTGTTTCATGAAGGTCTCTACTAACCCCATGTAATGGGAGAACTCTCTACTATGTCTAGGAATTGCAGTGCGCTCTCGGTTTTTTTTTTTTTTGGTCCCCCCTCGTATATATAAATAATCTAAATCAGCAGTTGCCGACCTTTTCTGATTTCACAGATTACTAAATTCACAAATTTGAATTTTGTGGACCACTGTCATAAATTTTTTTAAACAATACAAACATCTATAGAATAATGATCATAAAAGTTCCATTTTACTTTATTAATATGAAATTCAGTTGTTTAATTATAACAAATTAGTGTGAAGTTTGTTGCTGCTTGTCTAAAATAAGTTTATGGATTCTTGGCTCTTTTCCACAAAAGATGACAAACACACAACATTATTTACTGTTGATTATTTATTGATAACAGTCATTTCATGTTTGGTTTTGGAATCAAATAAAAACCCCCAATAAATGAGAAAAAGCAACCAAGCATATTGGATTCCTTTTGTAATACTTCATGTAACCTTAAGTTGATCAATGTACAAATTTCTCCATGGACCACCAAAATTTTCTCATGGATCATCACTGTCCCATGGACCACCAGTTGGTGACTGCTGATCTAAATAATAAACTTGTCATCTAAAGATGAAGCTTCTGGTATGGTGATGGCCATATTTGATGCTGGCAAGTTGTTGTTGCTGCTTGCTTGAGAAGCATTTTTTTTTTTTCGTTGAGTATTATTTTTGTCGAATTTGTTACTTATTTTCTATATTTTGGACTATTGGTCAAATTAAGTTATATTGTGAATTCAGAACCATGGTAATATCATATAGTGCTTACAGCTGTAACAACAGATTTGTGAAAAATTTCAGAATACACTTTTATTGGTAAGTGGTCTAAATCTAATCCTAATACTACATTTAGACTAGGAAAGTTACTCATTCAGAGATATAATCACATTTAAATTTGAACAAATTTATACAACAAATGTTTATCAAAAATACAAACCAGAAAATCCAGCAGTAAAATCTTAATTTAGGAAATACTTAATAAAAATTAATGTTTTCAACAAACTTAAGTTGTCATCTTCAGGTTAAATTGTAATTTGGAAGAGAGAACAATTCCTTGTTCTCTCTTGGAAGAGAGAACAATTCCTTGTTCTCTCTTCCAAATTACATTTACACCAGTTTTAAATTTCAAACTGAAGACAACAACTTAAGTTGAAAACATTCATTTTTATTAAGTATTTTTTAAATTACAGTTTTACTGTTGAATTTCTGGTTTGTGTTTTTAATATTGTCTTACTTCTAGTTTTAACCCCTTCTCAGTCTCTTTTTCAGTCACAGTCAGGGCCGGCCTTCTCTATAAAGGGGCCCGGGTGCAAGAAACTATTTGGGCCCTAAATTTTTTGTAAAATAAAAAGATTACAAACACGAACATATATTAATGCATGTTTATTTAAAGCGTGATTTTGTTCTTGCTAATACATGAATTACTTCAGAAAAATTATAATTTTTTGCAATTTTTTTTTCGATGCTTAATATAGCAAGTGCATTAAGCGTTCTGCACACATGCTGGATCGAAGATAATTCTTTATTAATTTTAATTTGCTGAAAGAACGCTCAGCACTTGCTATAGTAACTGGCAACGTAAAGAAAAGTTTTAACACAGTTAATACATTTAGAAATAGTTGTGTATCTGACCTTTGTCTTTGTGATCGTCGCGCCCTCTCCTCTGCTATGTGTGGGGTCTGTTATGTTCGTCAAGGGAGTTGTACTCTGGCCCAGGTTAGTTTAGTTTGGAATGTGTGCTGTGGTCTAACGGACATCGCTTTCTAGTTCTCTCCACTTTCTTTGTGTTACCTTCGACATTACCCTTCATCATATCCAAAACCTGACATGGTAGCAGAGAGTGGTTGGTTTAAGGGTTCAATGATCGAGGTTTACCATACGAAAAACATCTAATTGGAGATTCAAGTAAGTGATATATACTTGTTTGCTTACGAAAGGCAAAAAAGAGCAAACTCTGAACAAAGTCTGAACAAAGAGCAACGCCATGAATAGTGTGGGGACACAGCATGTTGATAAACTCGATGATGGCAACTACGAATCGTGGAAGCTACAAATGCGTAGCATACTTGTTTGCAATGAACTTTGGTCGTACGTAAATGGATCCATAGAAAAACCAGATACCGATCCTGGCCGAATAGATTGGCAAACAAAAGATGAAAAGGCTTTAGCATTAATCTTACTAGGCGTTAAGCAGTACCAGTTGAGCCATATAAAGAGGGCAGAAACTTCCAAAGAAGCATGGGATGAATTGGAAAGGATACATAAATCGAAAGGTCCAATTAAAAAGACAGTGCTATACAAACAACTTTATCAGATGAAAAAGGGAACTGAAAAATCAATGTTGAGACATGTAAGTGAATTTATGGAAAAGACTGAACAATTAGAAGAAGCGGGTATCCCAATTCCAAGTGAGTTACTATCTATAATGTTACTAAATTCATTGCCCGATGAATACGAGACATTTCGAATTGCCATCGAGTCCAGAGTCGACATACCGAAACCTGAATTATTAAAAATAAAATTAATTGAAGAAGAAACAAGACGACAAGAGAAGGATGAGTTTTTAGTCGAACAAAGTGCACTGTACATGGGACCGAAACAAAAGAAAAGTTCCTTCCAACAAAACTACTCAAAAGGAAATAATCATTCTTCTTCACAATTCACAGGAACATGTTACATATGCGCTAAACCGGGCCACCGTGCAGCTGAGTGTAGAAGTAATAATAGATATTCGCAAAGGAACAATACACGCAAAAAGAATGACGCTATGGCGGTCACAGTACAAACGGCTCAACCTCTAAACTCAACAGACTGGTGTCTTGATAGCGGAGCAACCGCACATATGTGTAGCGACTGTACGAAATTTACAGAGATAAATCAAGATCACAAAGAAATACAAACTGCAGGAAAAGATGCATTAAGATCCGTTGGAACTGGAACAATTAATATAAGCGTGCGTGTCAACAACACCAATAATACAATCAAGCTACAAGACGTGATAGCCGTTCCAGATTTGAGAAACAACTTGATATCTGTACCCAAAATAACAGAACATGGATATTCTGTCACATTCAAAAGAGAAACTGCAACTGTCACTCGCCAAGATGGTTCCATCGCCTTGATAGCAAAGAAAAAGGATCAGCTGTACGTAGTAGAAACTAGATCTGACGCAGTATTGAATGCGGAAGAAAGTGACAATCTTTTGAGATGGCATCAACGACTTGGTCATCTAAACTTCAACGATTTAAAAGAAAAAGGTAAAGCCAAAAAATGGAAAGATCTGAACAGAAAAGGAGAAACAAAAGAGGGTGGTGATATGGATGCATTTTTAGATAAAACAGATGTAAATACTCAGGATATGTCTATTCCATCGCTATCACCTACTCCAGATTCAAATGTGGTCGAGGTCATTCCTCAGATAAACACTTGCGAATCAGATACTGATTTATTGGAAGAGAAGAGGAAAGTGGCCGAGAAAAATGAGGAAAACATAAGAGTTAGTATGGAAGTCCAGAATAGGATAAAAAATAATGAAAATTCCGTGACTGAAAACTCCATAAAAGAGCCAGAATTAAAGTATAATTATTCAGAAGATCAATGGAGTCCTATTAACCCCGAAGGTAAAAAGATATACGATCGGGCTTTCCTATTAAAATATCAAGGAGAACCACTCTGTTTGCAGAAACCGCGAAACCTTCCGTCGGTGGAAATAGTTAAAGAAAAGGCGCATCTCCAGAAATTACCGGACGATAATCGACCTGCATCCGCTCCTGTGCCGCCACAAAATTATTCGGATCCCTTCATGCCGAATTTCGCTAGCAGGCAGTCGCGCCCGCCTTCTGGAGGAATTGGAAGAAGACAGAGTCAACAAGGTCGTGATAAACCTAAAAAGATAATTACCATTTCAAGTTCTTTCAATCAAGATGTCAAATTACACGAATGGTTAAATGCCATGGATTCGGAATATAAGTCTTTAATGGAAAATAATACATGGGAATTAGTACCACGCCCAAAGGACAGAAAAATAATTTCAAATAAATGGGTGTAAAAAAAAAAAAAAATTATCAAATGATAAGTTTCAGTGTATACGCAGACTCCGGGCACACCGATAGAGGGGGTGTTAGAAAGTTGTGTATCTGACCTTTGTCTTTGTGATCGTCG